CTCAACACCTTTTTATACCTGTTTTATTTATTTATTTATTTTTCTTTTTATGTTCTTCTTTGTTGTTACCCTCCATCTCCCCTGTATAATGTTTAAAGAAAAACAATAAAAAGAAATGATCAAAAAATAAATATAGTGCAAAGCTAAAAACAACATGGATTCATCTCTCCATCAGACGCATCACCACGGATCTTGTGTAATTTGGCGTAACCTTCAAGAAGAAAGTACCATCAGGTATTTTCCACAGTGTATTACATGGTGGATCAAAATCTGATGGTACTTTTTTAATCAGTTTTCACAAGATGCCCAACACCACTGGCTGAAATGCAGCCCAAACCATGACACAGCCTCCACCGTGTTTTACAGATGGCTGCAGACACTCACTGTTGTACGTCTCTCCTGATCTCCTCCATATGCATTTACAATGATTTGAAAAAGTGGTATTTGCATTTATCACTCTGTAAGACCTGCTGCCGTTAACTTTAGTCCAGGGTTGGTGTCATTTAGCATCAGTATTTTCTCCTCACTATCCTTTTGTAAAAATGTCTTCTTGACAGCCAGGCACTGAGACTTTCTGAAGAGGCTTTGGCAAACTGAAACTGAAAAGCCAGATGCATCTCTCAGGTCCTGTGTCAGTCTTTGCTTTCAGATACTGTTAATCTGATGTAGACTTTTTTTAAATTCCTGCTAATCGTCTTTTTCCTCCAGTTGTTTAGTTTCCTTACATTATTATGCCTGTCAAATGGTTTATATTGAATTTAAGAAATGACAACAAACTATGTGTTTTTTTTCCACAGGCCTCCAAATTATGGAGGCCTGTTCTAGGTCTGGTCACGGCAGATGGCCCCGCCCCTCCCTGAGCCTGGTTCTGCTGGAGGTTTCTTCCAGTGAAAAGGGAGTTTTTCCTTCCCACTGTCGCCAAAATGCTTGCTCATAGGGGGTCATGTGATTGTTGGGTTTTTCTCTGTATTGCAGGGTCTACCTTACAATATAAAGTGCCTTGAGCTGTTATAATTTGGCGCTGTATAAATAAAATTGAATTGAACAGAATTGTAAATTATGCATTAAGACTTGTGTACAGTATTGTACACACCTACATTATCAAGGGGCCATTTTCTTCTCCCTCACCTACACAGACGTCATTATGTATCATAGCTGACTGCAATGCATGAAGTATCACAGAATCACTGTGCGATGTTTCTTTGTTTTCACCAAAGCTCAACAGATAAAGTCCCAACCTCTGTGCTAAGCTAAACAAGAAGAAGCTTAATGTAAGAGTGGCAATAATCTTCTCATTTAAATTCAAAACTGAGGGAAACATACATTTTTTCCCCCAAAATGTTGAACTTTTTCTCCCCAACATTAGGATTTTACAGTCTTCTTAAATATCTTCTATACTACATATTTGACATGTGATGATTTCCACACTTTCAAGCTTATTTTTCTTTGCAAACTTGAACGAACAGCTGAGCGTTTCCTGGTCTTGTTGTGCCGTAGGAATCCAGGGATCCTCGTCCTCAGTGATTGGCTTTGTTTGCATGTGACTGCCTTCCACCACATGAAGCAGCAGGATTTCCTGGCTCGTTCGCCTCATTTGTAATGCTGTTTTTCTGACCCTCGACTCAAACATGTTTGCCCTAGTTCATGCTCATTATTTGGGGATTTGAGCTCTAAGGATGTTAATATATCTTTTTTCCTTTCTTTCTTTTAACGATCAGGGTGACTCTCTGCAGTCAGGGTGATGTGGTTTTAATTCTGCTCTTCACATGTTTCAGGTGTTTGAGGAAAAGAAAGTAGGGTAACTGCTGTAACAAACCTCCTGCCCTCTTTATGATCCACAGTAAATCACGTTTAATTGCAATGGCAGAAGCAGTAAAATCATATCTGCTCGTAATGTTCCCCTTTCAATGATATCCGCATTTTGACCATTTTTTAATGTTTACACAACTTTATAATTTCCCTAAAACTGGAAGTCAGAGGCCCTGACTCATAAAAAAACAACATAATTCCTTCGGTGCGCAACTTTTTTATGATTAACCACTGCGTCATGTAACGCTAACTTTAGGGTCACTCCCACATTTCCTGAAAGAGGTGGGCAGTAATTTATGCCCCCGTACACCAAGTGAAACCTGATGTTTATTCACTCCTCACTTCAGCTTCATGCTTTTTTTCCAGTCCAGGAGGCTGCAGAATGCTGTGTCACATTTGACAAATTTACCATCAGTGTTAATGCTTCTCTCTGATGAAGTCACTGAAACGTGCTCGCAGCAGTCGAGCACCTTTGTCAACAAACTTGGACATTTAATGGCCGAGCTTTCCTATAAAGTTACAACAACTACATTCTCCTGGTATACGCGATGACCTCATGGTGTTGACTTAGGCTCAGTTTTCAGGATTTGACAGGCTCAGTGGTGAAACTTGATCCGTAATCTTAAGAAAACAAAACTTGTGATTGTAAATCCCTGAAGAGCAAAGATATGACCTGATTTTTCAGACCAGAATGTGTCACCCTTTTATGGAGAGCTTGGAAATGTTGAATACATGCTGCCATCTGCAGGCCATTACAGAAAATCTAGTTTACATTTGAGCTTCAGCTGATGCTCTGTTACAAAGGTCAAAAGAAGGTCTTATTTATAGTTCTGATTATTTTCACTGAATTAAAGTGTTTAACTGATGCACATTGTAAAAATACAGCAACTAAGTGGTTTAGAAGGTGAGAAGAGGTCATAACGTTTTGCTTTAGTAATGCTCAAAGATGGCACACGCCATTCTACTGGAATGTTAATCTTTGATATAAACCTTGCACTCGTGGTTAATGCCAGATGTTAATTTTGTAATTTTGTTGTAGGTTAAGCAACATATTTTTTTTTTTGGACAGGGAAAAAAACATGTGCATTTATCTTATTAGCCCTGTGACAGACTGGATAAACAGAAGAGGTTGGATGGATTTATCTGTGCAAAAATTCATTTTTCAAGGAAGATTGTGTAGTGCAACTAAAAGCAAAAACAAAATAGCTATTAAATTCTTACATTTATGCTTCGTGATTCTAAAAATAAATTAGCAACAATGACAGCAACACATTTCTTTCTACAAAAAGTCTTGATCCAGCCCTCATGACTTTTTATTTCCCTTCTAAGCAGCAACACGTTCCTGTTATTTCTAAAGTTTTTCAATAATTTTTAGTCCAGTCCTTATACCTGAATTCTTATAGATATGTCTTATGTGCTTTTTGCTTCTTTGTTTGTTTGTTTGTTAGCCACTTAACACTGACCTATGAGTAATTCAAGCATAAATAACTCATTATAATCATTAGATTCCCATCCCCTGTGTAATACCATCTGGATAGTATCTGATTGAAAATGGCTTCACAAACCCACAGTGACACACACTGTTAGTCATGCAGTAGATTGGCCTCCCCAGAGCCCAGAGCTCAACATTACTGAAATTTACAGTAATTTCCTGTCATTTCTATTTACAGCACAGTTACTGTAAATCTCATCTGCAGTAATTTGCAGTAATGTGGAATCATCCTGAAAACATCAACAGAAGAGCTGCGTTTCTCCAGAAACCTGGAGAACTTAAAAAATTACAAGGAAGCCTGACTAAGAGAATTCTGTCTGTGTTGGAGAATAAAGGTGGTCGTACCAAATATTAACTTTCAAACACCTTAGAAATGTGCTTACTCTGTTTTTATATGAATGATTTTTTGTGGTTGAGTTTTATTTTTTGAAGTTTCAATAAATTGTTGCATCTTTTCTTGATTTTCCTGACAAAATGTTAAGAAATAAGAGTTGGCTCAAGACTTTTACACGCCAGAATACCTGCGTGTTAAAAACACAGTTCTGATATTGAATTTGATCCATTTATACAATTTCTATGAGGGCAGTAATCCTTAACAGCAACTACTGTGACTCCTATATAAAGTTTACCTGAAATGGTCACTATAACAACAGCGTCGTCCTGGTGGCCGCTGAGCAGCTCCAGTAAAACCAGTTGAGGTTTTCTGTTCCACTGCTGTGTTAAATGTAAAGGTGAGTGAAATTTACGAGCCTCTAAACCGTGGCGTAAGCCGCCGAGGGAGGTAAAGCTAAAGGGCAGAAGAAATTCATCTTTTAAACCACGCATGAGATCATGACTCATTCTTTAACATAAACACTGTGCTCCCAGCTCATGCACAGACATGAACATTAGTTGTTTGGATGTGGTGGACACTTTTCGACACTTATTTTCAAATGAAGATCTCCAAAAGTTTTGAACTGCTGCTACTGCTTTGTATGTATGTTTATGTATTTTGTTAAATTCCAGCACCATCATTGCATCATTACCTTGATTCTATCATACATGAAACCTTCTGAAGTCTTGGATCTTGTTAATTATGAGGTATTGGCAGGTCCAGGTCAAGTTTTATGAAGCATCACTAACATGTTTTCTGCACTTTGCTTCACATTTTTAGTTAGGGTGATGCTGTATCATCATTGCATATTAAACAGGTATTAAACAATGCATTTTCTGCACAAAATCTTAGATGTGAAAAAGCAACAAGCATATAACCATCGGTCCAGTTTTAAAGAGGCATGAATATGGGGCAAAATGACAGCAAACAAAAATAAATCAACAATTTTAGCAGCTGGCAGATGTCAGCTTCCTCCCTGCTTGTTTGACCCATCTATGAGTCTAAAAAAGTAGGTTGTGATTCCTTCCACTTGGGGCTTTGCAAATCTTGAGCACTTAAAGAGCCCACACAAAGCTTTGGGGGTTTTGTTTTGTTTTTTAATTGCGTGAAATCTATTTGAGCAAAACACTTCAGACAGCAATGATGATAAACGAGAACAACGTCACTCCAACAACACACTCAAAACAAACAAGTTCATACTAGCAGAAACACAACAACATGCTCAGTGGAAAAAAATGGTAAGCAACGCTAAGCTTTGCATTCACTAGCAATCCATTAACAGCCCGATGAAGTACAGCTGTGGGCGATCCGATTTTCAGACTGGATGGTGTTGCCACGAAAACTGAACCACAGTGAAAGAAGAGGCCGGAGGAAGGTCAGTGGGCTGCTTAACTAATAGTTTGGTAGGTAAGTCAGAACCTACCTACCAAACTATTGCAAGCTTTACAACAAATGCAAACATTTTGCAGTAATGGGGTTTCCACAAGCTTTGCATTTTGGGAGATCTGTCTCATTCTTCTCAGCAGATCTGCTCAGCCTTTGTTAGTCTGGGTGTCAGTCACCTGTTAACTGTCACCCACAGATGGATCTTAATTTCTTGAAGTCCAGTTCCCCATGCCCCTGCACTCTGAAGTGCTTCTTCTATCTGTATGGTTCGGTTATTCTTTCCTCATGTTCGTTCATGAATACGGCAAGGCAGGAGGAAAAGAGCTTAGACGAGGTTGACGTGAAGGAGGACATGCAGAGGGTGTGACAGTGAAGGAAGAAGAAGAAATATTTCCTTAGTTTTTAGAAAAGCATCCTCATGGCATTATACCAGTGCTACGTCTGCCATCCTTCACCATCAAGAGGCCTGCACTTGCCTGTACATTCATTTTCTTCTTATCAGAGCACATTTTTGGCCATGCTCCCATAGATCTTTAAATGCAATTTAGAGAACTATGGGCAGTCTTGTGAGTAAAAGCTGTTACTTAGAATTGTTTCCATCTAGCACTAATCTCGCTTAGCTGCGTGTCTAATAGGGAAGGACAGTTTGGCTGAACAATAACATAAAAAATAATCTGATGATTCCAAAGGTTTATCATCTTATACTTCACTACTTAACCAGCTTTCACTGGTTTCATACCATAATCTAAGCTGGCAAGGTCTTCAGACACTTCCTTTGAGCTCATGAACTGTATGAACTATGTATACTGAGATTAACCAAATGCACCACTGAAAAGTGTATTATCTTACTTTTTTTCATTGATTGTACTTAATTGTATTTTTGTATTTCCTTCATATATATGTACCTGAGCTGAGGTGACGCAAAAATTTCCCCGTTGTGGGATCAATAAAGTCTTATCTTATTTCTATCTTATCTTAAAAACACAGGAAATCATTCCTGCCTGTGGTTATCTTTCTGTTTTTAACTTTATATTTTATATTTTGTGTGTAACATATCGGGGATATTTCTATATTAGAGCTATTTTGTAAAATATTGTATTATTTAATATGGTACTTACTGTCTTGGAGCACGTGTGACCACATATTTGCTCTGGGATTACTGAAGTATTGTGTCGTTCTGGTGTGCACTGTGTACTGGGAAAACTAGTCAGTGGAATTTCCCACAGATGGACTACAGTCAAGTTTGAATACCTTAAGGCTTAAAAGAAAGCGAAACCAGACTGTTTACGAGTAATCTGGAATAACAGGTAAAATACATTCAACCCATTTAAAACTCAACCTGGAAGTAAGTGTGTGTGTGTGTGTGTGTGTGTGTGTGTGTGTGTGTTTGTTTAGATTTTAAAAATGCCAGTAAAGTCAGTCACGTGATCCCATATCTTTACAGGGTATCCGGCACGCTCTGGTCTCCGGCAGCTCGGTGCTCGCAGGTGTTTCTGAAGCTTGTCAGTGTGAAATTCCTGCCATTGTTTGAGGAATGCACAAAGGGCATTTCCACTTTCCGCCGTCATGTTCCGGGCTGCATACCTCTGTAATAGGCTGTGAATGGTGACGGCAGTCAGCTGCCGCACTTGGTTTGTTCGTTCATACTTCCAGCGTTTTCGTAGATTTTTCTGCGCTCCCGTGACAAGTTTTTGTTTGTTTGTTTGTTTTCCAGTCGCGATCATGCTGAACTGTGGAGCGTTCAGGAATATAACCCTCGGACTGTGCTGTAAGTCGACAAGTGCGGGCTGGTTTGCGCGTGTGTGAGGTTTAAAGGGAATTTACGCTTAAGTGTTCCTTCCCATCCAAAACCAGCGATCGGGATGGCAGAGGGGTTATTCAGGGATTACTCCCCGGATCTAACAGAGCTGGAAAATAAGATCGGGATGAAGACACCGGAAAGTCTTCTGACCTGGATGAGAGATGCTCCAAATTGTGAAGGTGGCCGGAGGTCTGAAGTGAGCGGCAGGGAAAACCACAGCGCTGATTTCCCCGAGGCTTTATCTGACAAAATTAACAACTTAAAAAAAGAGCTGGTAAACATTTCTGTGCTCACTAATAATTATTTCCTGTGTGTGTGTGTGTGTGTGTGTGTGTGTGTGCGTGTGTATTATATGATACAGGTATATTTATAGAAAAGATTCCAAATGGAGTTTCCATCATGCGTTTTAGTGACTCACCATTACCTGTGTATTTTTCCTTACTTGGCCAAAGCTAAGCTACAACCTGTACAACTTGTTTAGCAATCACTGTGACATGTATGAAGTGCCATTCTGAGCCACTTCACAGGCAGCAGTTTATTTCTTATGACAGTCACTCTTACCTGTGTTCTCACCACACCTGTCAGTGCCACATTCTGACAACAGATTCCTATGTTGACTCCCACCACCTTTGTTCCACTCTAATGCAATTAAAATGAGCATGATAGTGGGGTGGAAGGAGTGGAGAAGTTCATAGTACACACACACACACCTGTTTCTTCAGTTACACCTTAACACTCACTAACTCTGTGGCATTTAATCAGAGATGGCTCCGTTCTGCCGATGTAAGGATCCTACGGCAACTGGTGGCTTTGAACGAAGGGATCGAGACCATGCGCTGGCTACTGGAGGATAGGGGCCCTTTAACCAGTCGTGGCAGCAGTTTAACAGGAAGCCTGAGCAGCCTGGAGAATGGGCCTTTGATGTCTCCCTGCAGGTGGGTAACCAGGTGTCCCACTCTCTTGTCTCCATGCCCCACATACTAAGGCAATGTCTCACATTTTAGTGTGCAAAAGAGAACACAGAGACATACAGTGTGATTTTTTTTTTTTTTAACGTTTTTATTGTGATTGCTGCAAGCATGCAACTTTAACAGCTTTAATGTTTTCAAAAAGACTGTTGGGATCAAGGTGTTAAAAAAAACCCTTCTATTTTTGCTTCCAGGTTATTTGTTTTACCAATGTTTAATCTGCATACCTTTGACATGTTTTATTTTAAAACTATGTGTCAGTGTTACTAATGTGTCCCACACAAACATATTTTTTGCCCCACATTTAATTTATTGTGTTCTGGTCACCCAGCGTGTTACCTATTTAGTCTTTTGTAGATTAAATGACGATGTTAAATATGCGTACAGCTGCTAAGAGGATACACTAGGAGTAAGGTAAAGCTCTTGAACTAGAATTTTCTTGCATCCCTGCAAGTATGTGACAGCACTGAGCAGCTCCTTCAGTGGGAGACTGCGGCACCCACGGTGTGGGACGGAGAGATTTCGCAGGTCTTTCCTCCCCACTGCTGTCAGACTCCATAATAAAGACTTTAACTGATCAAGCACACACATCCATACATATGCAATAATACTAAGTGCAATAATCCTTTCTGTCATCGTTGTATTTTTACTCAGTTGTATATAGTATTTGTATTTGTATTCTATTTTTATCTTATTGTATATTTATTTTATTTTATTCTACTGTATATAGTATTTTATTCTATTCTGTACAGTTGTGTACTGTATTTATTCTTATTGTATTCTAATTTTTGCCTCATAACTTTTGCACTGTCCACTTCCTGCTGTGACAAAACAAATTTCCCACGTGTGGGACTAATAAAGGTTATCTTATCTTATCTTATCTTATACACAAGTGGCAGTTTCCTAAATTTAGTAGCCTACAGCATGTTGGCAAAATAATGCAAGATTTTCTAAAAGCGGTTAAAGGGAGAAGTTGTGGATCAAAGGATAGTCAAGGACGTTTGTGGCAAATTAGAAAACTCAACTGGAAAGACATAAATCACAAAATTGGCACATAAAATGCTGGCCATGATTTTCAGGCCCTTGCAGAAGAGGTCAAAAATTATGTGTTGCTGACCCATCAGAATAGACTTTCCTTGAGAGAAATGAACTTAAATCCTGCCTGTGACTGATGCATTTCTGTTTCTTTTCCCACAGAGAAAACCCAGACTACCCTGAGGAACTGACTGAAATAATGGGTGAGAATTCAGAGAATTCAAACCCTAAAAGCTATGCTGACATTCTCAGTTCAGACTCTAGTGAAGGAACATCTCAGAGTCCTTCCGGCTCCGAATTTTTGATCAATCATTCTGCTCCTGGAAGTTTTGGTCAGACATCATTTAGTCCAGCCAGTGGATTGAATGATGAACAACCACAGGACGTTTTTCTAACGTATTTAGCGGCAAAAGTAAAAAATCGTGGCGACACAATCAGAAGAGTTTTGCTTAGATCTTTCAAACCAAGAAAAAGCTTGGACGTGGAGACTTTTGACCCCACTCCACTTCCACGAGAGACACAGACATTACACCAACCTCAGGAGAGTTTCACAGCATCTCACACCAATATTATAGAAAAGGAAGACAGTGAAACCAGTGAGGAGGAAGTTTTTCTAGGCTATGATGCCCGGTGGTCCTGGGTGGAATCAGAAGATGATGTGACATATGTATGACGACCTCTGAACACAACTTTGATTTATGATCTTTGCTTTAAAGCTTTTCAACTAGTGATCTGAGACGTAAAGGCACTTTGGCACATTTTTTAGAATAAGATTAAAGCCACTGACTAATGTGAAGTTTCTCTGTGTGTCACTATATACTCTGTGTGTTTGACTTGATATTTTTAAATCATTTGTTATAAATATTAAATAATTAGAAATGAATGATGTGATGAAGGTTTCAAACACCTGAATGAGATCTGAGCATCAGATTTTGTGTCTTTGTTGTGTAACCATCGGGTCTTATGTTTTGTATTTGTTTAAGTAACTTTGCTTAGCAGTTTTCTTATCTTGAATTTTATGGACACTGTGCTTTCTTTCCTAAATCTCTTGAAGATAGGGGAAAAATAGCAGAAGGTGATTTTTTTTTTTTTCAATTTAGAGTAAGGCTTTTTGTATTTATGAGCCTAATATATCTTTTTTATATATAATTGCCAAGACAATAAAAGTAATTTATTGGTACTCTTGTTTGTTTCTTAGAAGAAAAGCCTGAATGTTAAATGTCATTATTGGTGAAATAACTGTTGTGTCCTTATATAGTTGGGGAATACATTTTTTTAAGGTAAAAAGCATCGTCTAACTTGTTAAAAGAACTCCCATAGGTACTGCGGTGAGTTTGGATTTGGTGACTGCTAAAGCTGAGGCCTGTTTGACATCACCTTCAAAGTCACCAAACCATTCAGGGACACATTTTTGCCCAGCAGATGGAGGCATTTTCACTGCCATCAGGACATGTTTCTGCAAAGGTTAAGGGCAGGTGGTCTTTCACAGTGATCTGCAGTGATCCACCCCTATCAACCAATCCAAACTACTCACAAAATGCCATCACAGCATAACAGAGCCGGGACAATCTAGGATCACAGGAATTTTTTGGTCCCGCCTGCACAAATTACACCTGTCCTGAGACTAAATGTAAACTTGGTTGTGGAAAAAGTGGCTACAAAAAGACTAATTTTAATTGCCAAAGGTAACAGTTCATATAGGTTAGAAATCCACTTTTTTATTTTGCTATATCCCTCTTACTATTTTAATCAATTTGTTTAACCTCAGCATATTTTAAAGAACAACAGGAACAGGAAGAAACCAGGCTCGGGCAGAGGCAGCCAGTTGGAGGTTAACGCGAGAAAGATGGGGCAAAAGACATACTGTGGAGCAGAGGCAGGTATTAAGTTTTAAGCCTAAAAACTGAAGGCTCTGCCTTCCATTCTACTTTTGAATATCCTGGGAACCACAAGTAAGTCAGTAGTCTTTTTATTTGTTTTTCTTTAATTTATCGTGATAATCATATGTCCATTGTTAGTGGTGTAATACGTGTTAACGCAAATCCACAATTGATTATTTTGAATTTTTTTTTTTTTTTTTGCTTTATTAGCAAAAGTCAGATTTTTTCCTTTTTTTATATTTACATATTGTCTCTAAAAACTAATGAAATTGCGAGGGAAATACACAAGCCTTACATAGTATGTGTGTGTGTGTGTGTGTGTGTTATTCTTTCCGATAGGACGTAAACGCAACGTGACGTCATGTAGAGAAAACAGGAAGTGTTTCAAAACGTAAGGATGTCTTCTCGGGGAAGGTAAATTTGCAAGTGCAGGTGGATACGGAAGATGTAGCGACTCGGATAGTTGGGAAGGAAACATGAAAGTTTGGTTTCTATGTAGTCTCCTTTTCGTTGCCCTGACGGATTGGACATCAGGAGACGACGGTAAGTGTTTCGGGCAGAGGTCACACACAAAGTCCGACGTATTAGCACTTTTGCTAGCAGTCATGGCTGGCTTGAAGTTAACTCGTGAAAACACATGAGAGACGCACTGAGCTGCCAGCGCTAGTCAGTGAGCTCACAGTATATCTATGCAACGATGCTACTAACTGGTTATTTACCCTGGTCAAAGAAAGCACTTTGTTTCTACTGGTGTATAGACATGTTTAGCCCTCATTGTTTTTGTTTTGTTTTGTTTGTTTGTTTTTAGTCTTATCTTGTCAAGTGTCCTGTATGCATTTCCTTTCTCCCAAGAATGTAAATATGTAAATATTTCTTATTGGAAATGTATAGCTATCTATATAGTGTAATTTATTTTTTATATAAGGTCAACAACGACAACCTACTCCTCATCCCACCCCAAGACATACACACTCTTAATAAACAAAAAAACAAGTAAACACACAAAACCCCTTCCTTATACTGCCTCATATCTTGGTAGTATGAGTAAGAACAGTAGATCATGAGCTCAGAAATGTATGTCTACTTCTCAAGATTAAAAATGTATATTTAAATATATTAATGACAAAAATAACCCAGCTAACTTAAAAGCCTTAAGCAGCGTGTGACACGACTAACTGCCAATGTCTGCAGAGGGGATTAAAAATCCTAATTAAAGATGAAGGCGTTTTGCTGGTTAAACTAATGACATTCAGTCAGTCAGCCAGGTGTTTTATGCTAAAGTGCTGGCGCAACCTGGTTAATTTGCCTGTTTTGTTATACTGGACGTGGTCAGAACTGCCATCAGTGCTCTATTATGAAAGCTTTCCTTGCCACTGTGCTATAGGAGTTATTAATAAGGAGTTATTAATGAGTAACACTCCATTTTCTCTACATCCCACATGTTGGCCAAGGTTCCTAAGAGAACAAAACTTATCTGTTATGATGCTACATCACTGAAGCCTGTTTACTTGCCCGTGCCAGCTGTGTTGCCACACAAAAAGCATATCGTAACTGGTCTCAGAGCAGTGAAAGCTGGGCCAGTAGCAGTTAGATGCTGGTCTCCCTTAAGTTTAGAGTCAAAGACCAGAGATCCAGAATGTGTTATGTGCAAATGACTATAAAAAAGGCTGCTGGCCTCTCAGCTTGTCCAGCTCCAGTCACTGTTAGTGGGGAACAGGGACTCTCATAAAATGGAGACAGCTACAGTTTCCTAAGAACACAAAACAAGCGCACCTGTAATAGTTAAGTGCAGCCACAAGATGTAATGTAAAGGATGAATGCACACACGTGAAGAGCTTTTTGACAGCACTGTTTGAGATGAAAGGGGAGAGATAATTGTCATTGGTAGGTTTTAAATATGCCTATTCTTGATTGGACAAGGGGAGCACTGCTTGCCTTGCTTGTCCTGACGGAATGCCACCGCTTTAGTGTGCGTCTCCATGTTTTGAGATAAACTCCAAGATGATAAGGTGAAAGACTGTCTTACTATTTTTCCTGCAGATGGGCAGGTGACATTTGTGTCAGAGCTGTCATCCAAACCTGCCCAGAAATTATCAAAGTATGGCTGGTACGGGAATGCGAGGCTGCAGAGGTTTCACATACCGGAGGAAACCGCCATCGCTCGCTGGCTCTTTTCTGTGACAAAGGGCCACAGTTTCCACTGCGGGAGGCATAATGTCACTATGTAAGCTATGAAGTTTATTAATAATGACCTTTTGAGACTCCTTATAATGTATTTTATCCCCCCTAACCTAACCTTATGTTATAACCATTTTGCAGCTATATTCGATGGGGTGCCCCTCCTGTTATAAACCCCACAGGGCAGGAGTTTCCCAATACGACACTGTGGACCCCCTGTTTGTCTCTGACTTTACCTGTAATCTCAGAGAACTCCACAACTTTTAACCTCTCTGACCCTGCCCCAGGTGATTGGTACGTTGCTGCTCACTTGCCTGAAGATGATGGCCGCATTGAACAGAAGGTTGGTATAGAGCAGCATATGGTGCATGTTGCTGCTGCTGATGCCACAGTTAGGTTAGCCACAATTTTTCTTCCCTGATCCAGTGCATTAAAATTTCTGTGACGTTACCAGGAGTATATGGAAGAAAGAACTGGTTTAAATTTTCTTGGCTGTTTCAAATTGTCATCTAATTTTAACAATTATGTAACCTTTGCACTTGCATGAGGGTGAGGGGGGGCAGGCAATGTACATTGTTAGTATTCTGGTCATGTTACACTAGTACTCACAATTTCCTTTATCACTCTAACTTGATATATGGGAGCAGTTTTGTTTTTTTTTTGTTTTTTCATGCTAAACCGGCTGAACCACGTTCTTTGGCTCTGTTCCTCCTGCAAAAGAGTTTTCTTACTTATCATTTGATCTGTTTACATTTTATCTTAAATCTCTGCATTGTGTTGGTGTGCATTAGTTTCCTATTGTTCTCCTGTAATCACCTCCTCTTATTCACTTATTCAGACTCTGAATGGCGCCCATCTGTGTAAGAAGAAGTGTGCAACACAATGTCTTTATTTATAGACCTTTGTTGTCTGTCCTTATCTGTTAGGGTTTTCCTTCCTGCTCCTATTTCTTCCAGCCTCAATTGTCAGTTAGGAGAGCAGTGGACACACCTGTTTTGCAGAACGGCATATTCCTGACACAAACTGCAGCCCCTGACAGACCTACACGCCTTAAGTAAGAAGTGCATGTTTTATTTCCTGTATTTCCAGTCTTTGCACATTTTTTTTTCATGCATCAGTCAGAAGACCGTAAGTGAGTGTATTTTGTTCTCTTGCTCTTAGATTGTATGTTCCTGAGTTTGCCTCTTCCCTTTCGGTTTCTGTGGCTGGCTGTTCATCAGAGGAGGGAACAGAGATGGGAAACTGTTTCCTGGTCCTCAGGCTTGGCTCAGCTTCTCTGCAGCAGGGCCCAATAACAATGAACTGCTCAGGGTTTAGCTGCTCTGCAGCTCTCTCTAATCCACCTTGGGACACCTGGATACGAGTTGTTATTGAGAGCACCCGAGCCAACCGTACTGTTACCTTCAGCGTTGTCTCAAACTACACAGGTGAATTCAGAAATATGTACACTGAAGTATGTACACACATTACACCTGTGTTTGAAATCACTCTTTACTCACTACAATATATAAACTACGCTGTGGGCCCAAAACATCCACCAGTACCTTAAGAAAAATAGTCTAAAATATGGTCACTCTCTCATTGCATCATCATGAATGAAAAGAAAAAAAGAAGCCTGTCAAAAAATAAACCCACATTTCTTTTCTCTTCCACTTTGACAGTGAGCTCCAAATGTTTAAATAAGAAGTGCTGAATGAGTGCATGATTCCAGACACAACCTGTATTTCTGGTTTTTTTTTTTTGGTTTTTTTTTGTTTTTTAAATGTATTTCTGTTCTAACACATTTTCTTGTGTATCCATTTTGCTTCAGTGGGATGTAAGCCAAAAAGTCTTGGCCTCAAAGCAGATGATGAGATCTTTAAGCTCCATGGCAACAGCAGTTATAGCAACTCCTCATCATCAAGCAACAGTTCGGTGCTTGCAGACACAGGTGTCTCCAGCAATAAATCGTTTTCATGGATGTCACAGTTGCTGGGGTCAGCGTGTGTGTGGAGCATCCCTGTGCTGTATGAGGAGGTGGATGTCCTGTCACTGCGATTCACCCCCGTTGGTGGAGCCAATGTTAGCGTTACAAATACACACCCCACGCTGCT